GTAGCCGGAAACGCCGAAAGTTTTATTTGTATTTAGTACTGTGTCTGGTTATTTTAATTAATCAATATTACAATTCTAAACATCATGGGCGTACAGGAAGGAAAAAATTAAGGGGACGGAAAGAAATTTGCCCGACTTTTTCGGATTGTGCCGAGTTGTCAAAAAAATTTACCGGAGAAACTTTCCACAATCGTTGTCAACGGAGGAGGGGGGGGAGGAGAAGTGATTACGAAAAATTTCTATTAGCATATTTTCCACAGAATTGGCAGAATTTCCCACAAAATTGACAGAATTTGTCCCATTTATTTTATAATAAGCCAATATTGCCCGACTGTGAAGCGAATATTGCCCGACTGGCCTTGTTTGCCCAAAAGTCAGTCCCCCCTCCCCCGCCCGCTACGCCCATGCTAAACATTGCATTTTATCGCATTTTATATTGCTATTATGCAGTGAATCTTACGGAAAAGCCATTCATTTTTTTAATACAAGTAATGCAATATTAGCATTATTGATTAATACACAACGAAATATACAATAAATGACAACAAAGTACAAGAACGCAAGTATGCGGGTCCATCGTCCAGGTTTTAGCACATGCCTACGCAGAAATCGAGAAAAACAACTTTGTAATAAGGTAGTAAAGTCACACAAGAAGCCATTTTGAAAGCGTGTGCGTACAAGAAATACTGCAAGACCAAAATAGTAACCATGAACTGGCCGAAAACAGTTGAATTTTAATTAGTTAAACTAATATTTTGATATTTTGTTTTATTGATAAAAAAATTATACTAAAACAATTAATCGCCTCAGGCTCAGTGATTACGGTGAATATTCACCTCGACTTCGTCTCGGTGAATATTTATCAATTATTGGACGAGGTTGGGCAAAATATCGTGACTTGTCGGTGACGAGCAGATCAATTATTTACCGATGCCGAAGGCAGAGGCAAATAATTGATCTGCGAGCCACCGACAAATCAAGATATTTTGCGAGAACAGAGTTCAATAATTGTTTTATCATTCACTTATAGAGCATTTTATCTTTCGTTTAACATAAGTTCGCCGTCTCTCTTTCTTGCTTCTGCATAAAACTTGCGGAGGACGTTGACAAGAGTTTCTTTTGAGCCAACTAGATGTCTAGATCGTCCTAGCTTGTTGATTTATCTTGCTTCTAAAAATGCTGGCGAAAGACATTGACGGCGGTTTTAGTCCCTTTTTTGTTTTCCACGTTTTTTCTTCAAGTATAAAGCAAGACAACTCATTTTCCGAAAGTTCAGCAAAACGAGCCGCCATTGTTTACAAAAATTGAAGGCAATGCGCATGCTCAGACTTAAGGCTGTCCACAAAATGTGTTGCGAAAGTTCGATAATACACACAAAACTTGTATTTTCTATTTATTCAGTTGCTTACAATCAGTACAATAAATCCGATATTCTTATATTTTATATGAACACTTCAACATATAAACCTTCCAAGCGAACACTCTACTTTCCGACTGCTTACTATTCTCCCTCGTGCTCTTGTATTACGTCATAGTTAAATTATATTTTTTCTTACATAAAGTATGTCTCAACGAAACACAACACTCTATTACTGTTTAATAGAAATTACGTGACACACTCCCCACCTTGACTCAATCCGGAGTCAACATTAATTTATTCTTCCATTCTGAATCAATCACCGCTGCTCTCTTCACTCTTCTTGTCTTCCTAAACTCCCCGGTTTCATCCTTCCCTTTCACTTTTGTTTCCTGATCTAAACTGATTTCTAATGGTACTAACCATTGTAATGGTCTGTGCAATCTACTAGGTTTCCCGTCTTTGATCATTCTTATCTTGGCTCCACGCACAACCCTATCACGACCAACCACTAACTTCTCAACAATACCGGCACGCCACTGACCACGCTTCTTACCTTCTTCGAAGACAATCGCCACCTCCTCTACCTTAACTGTCCTGGCATTGCTCTTGTTGCCCTTACAATCGTGATGCTCCTGTAAATCGCACAAATACTCCCTGTGCCAACGATTCCAGAAATGTTTCAGTTTTGTACTCAAATACCGAAATCTTGCCCAAACATCTACCTCGCCTCAGTCATCGTCATCATCATTATCAGGCCAACATGGCATTGAAATAATTCGTCTAACATACATAAGATGTGAGGGTGTCAACATCTCCCCTCCAAGTTCGTCATATTCATACGTCAACGGCCTACAGTTGAGAGTGGCCTCAACCTCTAACAACACAGTCAACAACTCATCCATTGTCAATCTCGCATCACCGAGAACCTTCTGTAAACATCTCTTTACCCCGCCGACCATCCGCTCAAAAAACCGTCCCCACCACGGGGCACGTGCTAGATTAAACTTTATTTTCCTACTATTTAACTCTGAACGAACCTCAGGATCGTTGTACAATTTCCTCAGTGCCCTTTCAGTCGCCTTGAAGGTATTCGCATTATCTGGCACCATGAGCTCTGGTGTGCCTCTTCGGGCCGCAAATCGCCTTAAACATCTCCGAAATACCGATGCAGAAAGATCTTCAACTAAATCCAGGTGCAATCCTCTTGTAACACAACATGTAAATAGTGCAATATATGCTTTACTTAACCCTCCATCTTTCTCTTTCACAAACAACGGACTAGCAAAATCTACACCTGTTCTTGAGAATGGCTTCGCCTGATGCACCCTAAACTCTGGTAACTGTGCTATTGGTGGAGAAGAAATAACCTTAGCTTCCATTCTCTTGCAAACTTGACACTATCCTATAATCTTCTTGACGGTCTGGCGCCCCTTCGGGACCCAGAATTTCGAACGAAGCTCCGCTAAGGTACTCTTAACTCCATTGTGATGGATCGTTCATGACAATCTCTTATCACTAACTCAGTAAACCAGTGAGCCCTTGGCAAAATAGTTGGCTCTCGACCTTCATACGCCAATTCCGAGTTCCCTAATCTACCCTTGCACCGTAAAACGCCTTGCTCGTTAACGATTCTTAACCTTTGCACCAACTGTGGAAAGATATCTTAATTGCGCAATTCCTCTTGCGCCGCCTTAATCAGTTTACCCTCTGCTTCCACTAATTCTTCACTAACCAGCTCGCCTTCACGTTTTTCCGTCTCATTGACTGATGCTCTGATGTTAGTTATAAATCTCATAATCCAAAGTACTTACCTTCAACAGCCTTGACAACTGACTGAATCTTTTAACATCCACAATTCCCGTAATTCCCCGTTGAGGCAGAACATTGACAGACATACATGTAACCTTTGACATTTTCTCCTCTTCTTTACTCTCTTGTCTCCTCGACACATCGAATCTTGGCCATTCTTCTTCAGACTTACTAACCATTGTGGACCATTCCACCACTTATCACATTCCTTCAACTCCAAGGCTTTACATCCCCGTGAACCTATGTCAGCCGGGTTGTCAAGTCCCAGACAATGCCTCCAAACCATACCCTTAATTAATTGCAAAATTTCATCAACACGATGCTTAACAAATTGTTTCTATTCCCGCTTACTCTGAAGCCAATACAGAACTGTAATACTATCTGTCCACAACACTACTCCAAAATCAAACCAAAACTAAAAAGTTTAAAACCAAATTTATTGATAGTTCTACTTCCGATGCCGTTAATCATGACACGGATGTTGATATGTTGCTTAAAATTTGGATTCGTATTCCTTATCTCGGAAACCGTGGCGATTTTCTTTTAAAATCATGTCTTAATAAAATACAAAGATTTCTTTCTAAACCGGTTAAGTTCATCACTATTTATGACACTAAAAAGCTTTCTTATTTTGTTTCCAACAAAGATAAACTTCCTCCTTTATCTCGTAGTAATCTTGTATACGAGGTCGTTTCCCTGGTTGTGGCAAAACCTATATTGGCATGACACAAAGATGCCCGTCTGTACGTTTGAAAGAGCATGCAACTAGGCTCTCTTCTAGTGCAGTGGGCCAACATTTTTCTGAGTGTGAACATGCTCGATTCTTAGCTACTTTACAAGACCAGTTCACATTACTCAACGATCTTCCTTCGCCTTCTGACAACTCTTCTCCTATTGAAAACCTTGTTTTCAACAGCTACAGAATACTTCACATTACGAAATCTAACAACTACAACATTCTTGCTTTTCTTGAAGCACTGCTTATCAAACACAACAAACCTTTTCTTAACACTGGATTTAAAGCTAGTAAAGAACTACAACTGTTCACATAACACTTTAACTTAATCTTCTTCTACAGTCGGGTCTTTCCCTTTCTACCTCAATCCTTTTAATATATTAAACATTGTTGTAAATAAGCTAAATATTCCATTTTCAGTTATTACTATTTTCTTTATCATGTTTCGCTTCGCTTGGATAATCCTTCTTTCCGCCCACATGACAGATGCTCTCTCTCTGCGTTGTATATATATATATGTGTTGTAAAGTATTGTATTTCATTCTGTCTGAAGATGACTTTGAAATAAAGTCGAAAATTTACAGTCTCAAACTGCGTCTTGTTTTGAATTATATATTGAATTCTCAAGATGTCCTGTATTTTCGGAATTTGTTTTTTACTTTATTTTTTTAAATTGTCGGCTGGTCATGGTTTTTTACAACACTACTCGATGAAGAACTTGTTCGCTACACATTGCTTGCTTAACGGAATCAGCCAACTGCGCCAGTAACCAAGCTCCCATCAGTTCCAATCGTGGCATGCTTAATTTTTTGAGAGGAGCAACCCCAGATTCACTTGCCAGTATACTTACCTCTGTGCCTACACTGCTCTTATACACAAGATAAACAACAGCACTGTATGCAGCCTTGCTTGCATCTGAGAACTCATGGAGATGCAAATGACCGTCCAACCCTTACGAAAAAATCCTATAGGAATTCCTATAGGAATTCCTATAGGAAATCCTATAGGAATTCCTATTAGATTTTGGCCCAATTTCCTATAGGAATTCCTATAGGAATTCCTATAGGAATTCCTATTAGATTTTGGCCCAATTTCCTATAGGAATTCCTATAGGAATTCCTATAGGATCCTATAGGAATTCCTATAGGAATTCCTATAGGATCCTATAGGAATTCCTATAGGAATTCCTATTAGATTTTGGCCCAATTTCCTATAGGACATTCCTATAGGAATTCCTATAGGATCCTGTAGGAATCCCTATAGGAATTCCTATAGGAAATTGGTCCAAAATCTAATAGGAATTCCTATAGGAGTAGGAATTCCTTAGATTTACATAGAAATTCATATTGGATCATATAGAAATTCTTGCATAATCCTCTAAATCAAACTGTGTAAAAGAGTTATTTACCAAGGTGAAGGAAAAAGAGAAACAACTAGTGAAAAAAAATTTATTACAGATAAAAATGTGGCAAATATAACATGCTATATTTACATATAACATACTAATTTCGGCTATTTATCTTTTTAACTTATGACATTTTTCATTGTTCTCAGTTTAAGAAAGGTCTCTTATATTTTCTTACTTTTAGAAAATTTTTAGACATAAAATTGTACTATATTATATTACCTATTTATGTATTTAAAAAATAGAAAATTCTGTATGCACTACATAAGTTTTATTTTCTGTCATTCTTATACATGACTATGTTTAGTTCTGATTGCA